ATTGTGCCCCCTCCCCTGGGAATTTTGGCTTGCATGATGGCCCTGGTGCTGCCTGTCACATAATGCTGAGGTAAACCTCTGAGGACTGATGTTTCAATCCTAATTATTTGGGGTCATTTGAGGAAATTACACAGATGCTTTATCCTGTACGAATCAGTCAGCCATGCAAAAATGACATTATCAGACTTCCTCTGGTAATACTAAACAAGCTCAAATAGGGCTTTAGATTCTCTCTCAGATAACCTAGTTCTGATGTCTGACCTGTTCCCAGGAACATGCTGGTTTTAGACCTTGCAGCTCCTGTTGCCATCTCCATCACTGAGAGGCTCTCTATGTCTCTATGCATGGCCCAATTCATTGTTGAACACTTCCAGCTCTAGCCTCAGAGATCGCTCCAGTTCTAGCCTCACAGATTGCTCCATCACAAGCCTTAGTGATTTCTTTAGCACTAGCGTCAGTGATTGCTCCATCACCAGCCTAAAACATTGCTCCAGTTGTCGTCTCAGCCTCAAACACTCTGCACACACAAGTGTGTGGACAATCAGGCCAACACTTTGCCAGCCATAAAGTTCATAACTACTTGTACAAATCAAAACCTTTCAATCAAATGATTTCAAAGGCTTTATATAATTCATTTATTTACTCTTTTTCACAAAATGGCATTTCTGCTTGTTCTTCAGTATTGTTGATAGAATATATTTCAAAGGAAGTGTGTATGATTTACAGAACTAGAAGCAAAAGATTTTTTGTCTTCATAGCTAAGCAAGTAAATTTTATTGTGTTTAAATGCATTTTTTGTACTATGGCAGTTGTACACAATTTTTTTAATAAGAAGAAAGCTGCTTTCCATTTGATCTTGGCCTGGCAGTCGTGAAGAGGTATGAACTGTTCTCACCGCAGGAGGTTCTCACCCCTCCACTTTTCACCCCTCTTTGCTCACTAGCAGCTCAACGTAGAGTCACAAAATTTCACACAGAGAAGGCCAGCAGTGTCCTAGTTAATCTGTCACAGAATTACAAGCAAAAAATATTTTAGTTGATTAAGTTACTTGAAAATATCAGGAGTGAGTGGAAGGCGGCCAAGAGGAGCTGTGGGGAGTTCCACCAAGAACAGAAGAATTAAGTGCCCCATGGCATTTGTGCTGCCTACAACTGCATGAGCCCAGGGACTTGGCTTGAATTGGTGGGTCACCAGGACAATCGACTTTTAAAAGGGGGGGGCGATGTAGTGACCTGCTACTGGCTGCACATCTACACATCTCTGTAGATCAGTGCCTATAGTCTGAGTATGCCTTCATCTTTGTAATGATTGCTTTATGCGCTGTAATCCTACAATAATATCCCTGTCTATGTAGTTGTGGTTATATGAATATGCACTTGTACATATGAAATGTAGTTTCAGGTCTGACATTGCTTCGTTTCGCCAAAAAAATTTAGTTTCTGTTCACAATTCAATTTCAAGCCATGATATAAATGACAATATTCAAAATCCAGTTCTTGCATTTAAATGTAAACCTTTTGTGACATGATTGTAACTCCATACTATTAATTATATATTCTAAATGAAGTGAGTAGTACTATTTATCATGGTAATAGTGCTACATTTACATAGGAACTGTGCATTGATCACATGCATTTAATGCACGTTCATGTGGTGTGAAGACTTTCGGATCTGCGGATAGGTAATACAGGTCTCTGCGGACTTTTGCCCATATTATTTTGATACAGACCCAGAGTCAGGAGGGCATTTAGTGGGGCAATGCCCCACCAACCATTCATCATGCCCCACTAAACCCACTATTTTGTTCATTTTTATAGTGACAAATAGGAAAAAAGTGTCAAGCACACTTGGTATAAAAGGCTATTTCAACTAATACGGGAGGATTTGTATGCTCTTCTTATATCGGCCGCATTTTTGGGATCAGCTGTATGTTGTGGTAAGATAAATCAGTAGATAGATTTCCTAAATGGGTAGATATTTGGTGATTTGCTATAAATGTAGCTCTCCTGTTGACTTTCTCCTAATTGTGACTTCTTGGAAAAAATAGAAAGGTCTTCTGCTGTACAGATCTACTGCAGATTTCTTACCTCATGTGTTTTTACCCAGTTGCACAAACTCACCTGTGCCCCCCATCTTCAGATGCTTGAATCATGATTTAGTTCTGGTGTTGGGCAGGTTTGCTGTCTGGTAGGCCCAAAGCCATGTCTAGGGCTGATGCAGTCTCTAAAGGTAGGGCTGGAGTAGAGGTGGACAATGGCACAAATATAATATTGTGATACTTCAAGACATTTTCACAGCACGCAATATGTCACGATATTTTTTATTCAAATATCTCATAAGTTGGAACTGAGAAAAAAGAACCAGTAGTGCTACATTTCGTACAAGCAAAAACTGTGAACACTGAGTTTTATTCAATACTTGTCATATTGTGTTGTACTAAAACCAGTTAAACAGGACTAAGTTTGCTCTCATTATAAAGAAACCTGCAGTTGGTCAGTGTTCAAGTTCTGATGATATGCACCATATGTTCAGAAAAGCATATGGTCTTGTATTGTAACATAATTAATCACAATAACAATTTGTATTGTCATATTGCCCAGCCCTATACAGGAACAGTCCTTAAAGTCAGGGCTGGTGCAATCTCTAAAGTTAATTCTGGTTCAATCTGTGTGTGATTGAATTGGCAGAAGCAAACACTGGTAATTCAACAGTGTAGAAATGTAATCAATTTAAAACATTTCTAAATAGATTGTTTACTGTGCATTAAGCTTTATCATTATGACCTGTATTATTACATAAATGGAGGTTTTCTTATGTAAAAAATCATAAATAATTGTTTTATTAACTGAATAAGGCAAAATTAAAATTTGTTGAGACATTAAGTGTGGTTATTATTCGATAACTGAGGAAATCAGATTTTGTCAGTAATCTGATCAACACATTTACATGCACTCGAGTAATCAGATAATAGGGAAACTCAGGTCTGCATTTCAGGCAGTAATCAGATTTCTGCCTTTTGTAGACCTGAAGCCAATAATCCAGAAGAAGACGTGATGTAAATGTAATGTAAAACTCAAACTTCATGCTGCATCTTTTTTTTTTTTAAAAAAAAACATCACACCACTTTACCTGAAATTATTAACATACATCATCTAGAAGATGAAGAATGTTTAAATCCTTCATCCGTCAGGCATGTGGTTGGTTTCAGCATCACTCCAAAAGTGTTTTGCTGCGTCTCGCAGCAACGCTGCTGGCTTGTTTCTAGTACCGCCTTCTATTTTCGCACATGTGCAGACTGAGAAATCTGAAAGAAATCAGAGTAAGAGTTTACATGCACTGAGAAATCTGATTACTGAGCTAAAATCCAGCTCTCTTTATTGGATTTCTTAGTCAGATTTCTAGACATAGGTCTGATCTAAGAAATCAGATTATGCTGTTTACATGACCATCTGAATAATCAGGTAACTGCAGAATCCCAATTATGATCAGATTATTAAGTCCATGTAAACGCACTCATTGTTATGCAAATTAATGATAATGTATTATCAAAATGCTAATAAATAGGCATTAACTTTGTGATTAAACTTGTAAATTTGTGATACAGTTTTTTTCATTTCTAATTAGTCATAACTAAACTGCACTTTTTAATATGAGACACATCTTTAAGTATTAGTGACTTATTAAACTTCTATTAACTCAACTGCAATAAACTCCAAATGCTGCCCATTTTACATTTATAAGATGTGAATTTAGATGATAATTCATGCTCAATAATTTGCATGATAAGGGCTTAACACAGCCTTCATTGAGCATCATTACAATTAATAATGCAAGTATTAGTGATTTTCACATAATATACCACTAATTATGTACTAATATATTTTACAATGAATAAACCTTAAATTATAGTGAATATGCCATTTTGAAGCATTTAATTTGGTCTTTACTGACCAAAGAATAAGACCTTAATTAATTTCCAAAATCCCTCAAATAAAGTGTTGCCAAGCAATTTTGTACAAATATATGTACATACTGTGAACATGCAATATGAACACTGGTTGTCATTGCATATTTATTACACTTTGGATGTTGTAATAACTGTATTTTATTTTGCTCCGCCATTCTTCAAGATCTGCATTAATGAGATGAGGCTCAGCCTTTCTCTGGGAATAGAGCAGGTTTGGTTCTATGAGCTGCACTGCTCTTGAGTGACCCTCTGATGCAGTACCAGTGGCCTGCGGTTCTCCTCCGTCTCGCCGACCTGTCACACATCCCCACAGCACTGGAAACAATGAAAAGTTACATTCTATAATGTGGTTATTTTAAACAATGAACAAATATAATGTTGGCAATAAGGGGTGTTAAAATTGGCCACAGCAAGTTTTCATTATCATACAAATTAGGAATTTATGCAAAACTCTGTGTGGCTCTTAAAACTAAATACTATGCAGATATTAAAAGTGTATTGGGTAATGCTGTGGCTTTGAAAAATTGAAGCTGCACAACCATTCTGTTTCCTTCAGGAAATGCACGTTTCTAGTTATGATAAATTCATTTGATCAATTGTGAGCAATAATAAAAATCAATCTGTGTTTCACAAAAAGGACTTTTCTAATGACATCATAAAAGCCTTTTTGAACATTGTCTTGTAAAAGATGTGAATGTGAGTAGAGGACATTGTGGATACATCATAAAATTCTTTCTGTTTGCATTGAAGTCCCCGTAGTTACTGAAAAAATAATAATAATAATAATAATAACAATAAAGCCTTCTTATGTAATAAGCCTGGGATTTTAAGGGGCTAAGTTAAGACTCTGAACCATGTAACAAATAGAGCGGTTTACTATAGTCACTGAGGTCTGTAAGCTTCCCACTGCTTCTCATTTCTGTTGAAAAGACACAGATCAAACCACAACAAAGCCCCTTCTTCTTTTTTCTTCTTCTTATTCTCTGTACTTCTCATCTTCTTCGAGGAGATCACACTCTCTCCCAACAGAATCATGACTCTCATCTCTCTGCTCCTGCTGGCTGCTCTGCTGCCATACCTGAGCCACTCTGGTGAGCTTCACTTAGACCAGCTGAAGACTTGTATAATGGAAGAATGGCAAAAAATTCTGCTTTCAAAACTGAAAATAATTTTGTATCCAGTCCCCAAAAGGTGTTGAGGTGGTATTTTGAGTGGTCCTTTTTTTCAGATGAAACAGACACTCAACAGACTCTCAGTAACATGTCAGAAACATATGAGGGTTAGGATTAGGTTTTGGGTTAAGGTTAAGGTTAGGGTTAGGATTAGGGCCAGGGTGAGGGTTAGGTTTTCATAAGGTTGGGTAAGGTTAGGTTTTGTGTAATGGAAGTAACATATTAACAGTACATCTACTTAATGTAAGTAAAGTATCAACGGAACATCTACAAGATATTTACTTCAGTGTATTCAGATGCTGCACTACTGCTACTTCACTGATATGTTGTTGATGTGTTACTCATAATCTGTTAAGAGTTTATTAATCATCTTCAAAGGACCACTCCAAATAAAGGGTTACAGAATTATATTCATGAAAAAAACAAACAAACAAAAAGGTCTTCAATTTAATGCAGATCAAACAGAATTTATTAATCACTGCTTAATGTTTTCATTTGCATTTCACATACTGTCCAAACTTTTTTGGTTTGTACATTTTATGAACATGAATCAAACTGTAATTCAGACTGAGGTGAGTTTTGAGACACAAATACATGCAGAAAGTAAGATTATAACTCCTCTACCTTTTTTCTCTCTCAGCCAGTGTTAAGGTTGGTATAATAAATGGCACGGAGGCTGAACAGCACTCCAGGCCCTACATGGTGTCCATTCAGAAAAAAGGAAAACCCATCTGTGGTGGTTTTCTTGTGTCTAAAAAGTTCGTCCTAACGGCTGCGCACTGCTGGAAGAAGTAAGCCTTTAATTTCTAGTGCTTTCTCACTGTAGTCCTTAGGACCAAAATTACATACTGAAATAAAATACACTGATCAGGCCTAACATTATGACCACCTCCTTATTTCTACGCTCATTGTCCATTTTATCAGCTCCACTTACTATATAGGTGCTGACGTGGTGGTGGTGTGTTAGTGTGTGTTGTGCTGGTCTGAGTGGATCAGACACAGCAGTGCTGCTGGAGTTTTTAAACACTGTGTCCACTCTCTGTCCAATCTATTAGACACTCCTACCTTGTCAGTCCACCTTATAGATGTAAAGTCAGAGACAGTATCTCATCTGTTGCTGCACAGTTTGTGTTGGTCATCCTCTAGTCCTTCATCAGTGGTCACAGGACGCTGTTGGCTGTATAATTTTGCTTGGTGGACTATCTCAGTCCAGCAGTGACACTGAGGTGTTTAAAAACTCCAGCAGCACTGCTGTGTCTGATCCTCTCAGACCAGTACAACACACACTAACACACCACCACATCAGTGTTACTGCAGTGCTGAGAATGATCCACCACCCAAATAGTACCAGGTGTTGTGATATATTAGGGCCTGTTACCAAGTGCCTTAATCAGCTTTAAAATGTTTCTCTAAGGAAAAAACGACTTACGGCTCTGCTGGGTGCTCATGATCGGTCAGACAAGAAAGACGGTTCCATCCACATGAAAGTGAAGAATTACTACCCCCATCCGAAATACGACACCAGCACACATGACAATGATATCATGCTTCTGAAGGTAAATAACTGGACCAGTAGTGTAAATTTAGCTTTAGAAGTCTTTAGGGCATCATTAGCAGCCCAGGGTTTGAATGAAGGACTGAGTGGTCTGAGGGGTCACAGACTTCCAAAGACAAAAGAGACAAAATTGAACTACACACACACACACACACACCCTGGACAGGTCACCAGTCCATCACTGGGCAGACACTCAGACATATACATTCACACCTAGGACCAATTTAGAATCTCCAGTTCACCTGACTTCATGTGTTTGGACTGTGGAAGGAAACCAGAGCACCCGAAGGACACAGGGTGACCACACAGAAAGGACCCTGGTCGCCCAGCTGGGCGAACTGAACCCAGGCCCTAAGCTTGTCATAACAACTGACATAACCCTGCATAAATGTTTATAAATGCTTATTCCAATAGGCATCATACATTCGCCACTTTGGATCAAAGTTAGCCAAAGCAGCCTTTATGACAGATGATGCCTACTGGAATAAGCATTTATATCAGTTGTCATGTCAAGCTTATGTAGGTTTCAGGTAGCTTTATGAACAGTACCCTACAGTAACCACTGTGTGTTATCATTTTTTTCTGCATTTAGCGTTTTCCACCCTTTAGCTTCTATTCTTTATAGCAGATTTGCTTTCATTTTTTCAAACAAGTCTCTAACGTAAACCATTAAAGTTCAGTCTTAGAAGTTGATTGCATTTTCCACTTCTCACAGTTAAAAAATTAGGCTCTTCAGTCCGGTAGACATCTCAGGTGTCTAGTTTTGGTGTTCTAGTACAAATTTCAAAGGAATTTTAAACCACTATTTTTTTCAAGTTGATTTGAGCTGTCTTGTCACAGTGGAAAGAAGGAACAACATACCTGATTTTTTTTCAGTTCCAAAGCAGAATTTGGGCTTGATTTTCTCCTTTCTTTCTCAAAGCTGAAACCTTTAAGTGCTGCTTATCTGATGGTGACAGTTTTGGTGGTCTACCAGGTCTTGCACTGTTGTTAGGAGTCCAGTTTTCTTTGCATCTTTTGGACATTTTTTAAACTGATGTTCTCTGAAATATCTTATGAAAAATTAATAACTTGTACTTAATGGTCATAATGACCAGACACTGATCTCTGACTTTTGCACAGTAGTGAATAACCTGTAAAAATACATTTATAACTTCTCATTTTGTTCTTCTCATAAAAATAATACAATTTAACAAGAAAGTAACATTATCCTGATTTAAGTACAAATAATGTGAAGGCCTTTCAGTACAGTTATAAGAGCTACTATTGAGTCAAAGCACAGCATCTAGCATTCTAGCTGGTGAACTTTTGGTCTACAAACCTTAATATGAAATTTGATTTAAATCAAAGAATTTATTTTACAAAGTCAACATCAAGTGTTCAGTAAAGAAACATAAATAGCGTCTAATATCAGCTAATTGTGTGAAAATGAAGTGTGTAGGCCAGCTGGGTGTAATCTGGGTTACTGTGGAGGAGCGGAGCTTCGCATTACACTGTGCAGTCTTGTTGATAATTAAGCTAATATCTATCTAGTCACAGCTACGTGGAAAAGCCAAACAGAGCAAAACTGTTAACTGGATCTCCATCCCTAAAACAAATGAGGACATCAAGGCCAACTCGGTCTGCAGTGTAGCTGGCTGGGGAGGAACAGGATCCTCTAAACATGGTAGCAAGCGTCTCGTGGAGATCAATATTACTATTGTGGACGAAACAGAATGTAATAAACTCTGGGAGAACCGTCTGACCCCAAGGACGATATGTGCACTTCATTCTGGAGGATCGTGCAAGGTATGAGAACATACAGGATGATTAATATGGTCAGTCTGGATTATTGTGTTGGCCCAACACTAAATAATAAACTAAAGGAAATAAAGTCAATTCTAAAAAACTGAGGATAGTAAAGTGTTTCATTTGTGTGTTAACAGGAAGATTCTGGAGGTCCTTTGGTGTGTGGGGACACTGCTGTGGGCATTGCTTCCTTCAGTCAGAAGGACAAGTGTGATGCACCCACGAAGCCAAAGATTTTTACCGAAATATCAGAATTTCTGTCCTGGATCAAGACTGTTATTGGGAAAGTTTAATCTGCATTTGACAAAAAACAAAACATTCACCACAATTTCCTCTCAATAAAAGCATTTCCAAAGCATATTTCTCGAGCATATTCTTTGATGGAAATGTATGTGAGAAATCCTGTGGAAATTCATCCTCACAATTCTGTATGATGAAGTGCCTCACGAGGTCAGACAACTTCTTAAACTTACAGTGCTTGACTGCAGTAAAATGTCATGGAAAAACAGCATGCATCTAATTAAAAAAAAACCCCAAAAACTTAAACTAATACAAGTTGCCTGGGGGCCTAATCTGGAGGGGGTACCCACCCCCCATTACCTCATCTCACCTAAACTGTCTTACCGTCACATGCAACTCAGACTATACAGAGTTCTATTATGGTAGTTACAATTTTGCCCTTTTTACATACACTTTGTTTCTTTAGTTAGCCTCGACCTTCTGTGACAAACACCTTTATTTTTCTTCATTTTAATTCATAACCATACCAATTTTCTAAATTAATAATCACTGGCCTTAAGCTATTGCATTTGGTTATACCACTTTCTATAAGTTTAAGGGGCTAAGCTCTTGATTACATCACATCAATACAAATATCCCACTTTTCCCTTTATTATCGAATATATATGAAATATGAATCTCTCGATTATCCCTTAGTTATGACTAAACAGGTTATTCCTAATTGTGACTAAACAAGCAAGTGTTAAAATTTACATTTGCACGTGAAATGGGTAAAAAATAAAACCTATGGTCCAAACTAGGTCTGTGTGTATGTGTGCAGGCCAAGGCTCCTAAACAATGGCCAAGTGTCCCTATCATAGTTACAATTTGTGTTCAAGATGGGATTGAGCAGTGCTTCCCAGGCCTGGTTGAAACGTATGTAGCTAAAAGCCCAAGCACATACAGCGAGGCCTTGTATGTACCCACAGAGGCCTGCACACACAGAGACAGAGAACCAACACAGTATAGCATAGTAATATGGAAATAAATCAACTATTAATGTGGTTACAACTGAGTCTCTCTACATATGTGTTTCTCCTCTCTTAATAGTATATTGTACAAACAGGACACACACACACACACACACACACACACAGGAAGAGCTGCCCAGAGTGAGCCATACAGCATAATAATTATTTAGGATTAAAATGATCAAAATTATTACTTGAAAAAATCATTCACATAAAAAATCGTTCACATTATCAAAAAAATCCCCCTCAAAATCTGCTGCAAACAAAACCATGTCCCCTCTAAAACACACAAATTCCTCTCTTCTGTGCCTTTCTAATGTCTGAGGTACAATCAATATCTCAAGCAAATGCGACACACTGTAGGTGTATTCACATGTTATTTTTTTATATATGTAAATGTATAGTTGATTTATTTGACATGACATTTTCTTTATGTTAATGTATGGGTAAGAATAACCCCTGCCATTAGGGGGCGCTGTAGCAGTGGCAGACGCCAGATTGTGGTTTGGAGCAGTTCAGGGAAAACCTCTCAAATGCAATTGGGAGCTTGAACAGAAAACCACTGTCTCACCGTCTCCTTTCTTTATATATCCTGTCTCAGGTAGGGAAATGAAATAAGTTCACAAAAGCACTATATTTTGAGTTAGAAGGGACCTATAATAGGAAGAGGTTGTTTGATGGTGAGAAACATTGAGTATGTGTAAATAATAGTACAATTTTGTGAAGTACGTGACATACAAGAACTGTGAAATGGCGGACGCTCATTGCCTGGTTGTTCTTTTACCAAGTTTTAAAACATTTAAGCTTGTGGTGGTTCCGAGTGCTTTTGGAGAGAGTAAGTGGATAAATTGGTAGTGCTTAAGGGACTGTGAAGTTTATATTGCTAACGCTAAAAGGAATAATAGCTATAATCTTTAATAAGTGTCCTGTTTGCCCTTATAAACAAGCTGCAGGCATTGCTAACCTTAGCCTGTCGGCCCTCATGGATAAGCTGTAGGCTCCACTAGCATTAACCTCTGCTAGCTTTAGCCTGTTGCTCCTTATAAACAAGCTGGAGCTCCGCTAGCCTTAACCTCCGCTAGCTTTAGCCTGTTAGCTCGTACGGACAAACCATAGACCCCGCTAACCTTAACCTCCGCCAGCTTTAGCCTGTTACTCCTTATAAACAAGCTGAAGCTCCGCTAGCCTTAACCTCAGCTAGCTTTAGCCTGACGGCCCTTATAAGCAAGCTATCGGCTCCACTAGCTTTAATCTCCGTTAGCTTTAGCCAGTTGGCTGTTATAAGTAAGCCATAGCCTCTGCTGCCATTAGCCTGTTGGCTTTTGTAGACCAGCTTTGAGCCTCCGCTAGCGTTTAGCCATTTTGCCTTGTTCAGTGAGCCTCAGTAAGTTATTGTTAGCATTTACTGACTGACCTGCAGCTTTAAACTAGTTAACATTGGAAGTTTGCCTTCATTGATGTAATACTCACGTGATTATGAAAAAAAGAAGTAATTTTAGTAATTGTGATGATGTTTACTTTGTTTTACATTTAAATGAGTTTGGGTTCAGTATTTTGGTCAAGTCCAATGAAGGAAGTGCAGTCACAGCAGAAAAGAGCTAATACAATGGGAATAGTATTGTGAACAGAATGCTGAACAGAGCTTAAGGATCCACAATGAGTTGAGAGTGTTTATGTGAGGTATTGAGAAAGCTTTAAGTCTATTTTATGCGTCAGTGCATTTGTGTATTAGAATAATAAAGCTAAAGTGGTAAGTATATATATATATATATATATATGTGTGTGTGTGTATATATAGATAGATAGATAGATATGTTGATTATAATGTCATATTTGTGACATGTATATTAGACATGTCTAACTGTACTTCTATGTGAAGGACTAGAATAAGCTTCTATTGAGTGTTCATACATGAGGATTTCTCTATATACTTTTATATGAAGAGCTAAACTGTGAAATTGCACAAAGGACAATGAAAGACCAAAGCCTTAGTTAAAGATTATTCAATAAAAAGAAAAAAAATGCAATTGGGAGCTTGAACAGAAAACCACTGTCTCACCGTCTTCTTTCTTTATATATCCTGTCTCAGGAAAACATAACTGTTGCCCCGCCTCACACACTCTGGGGCGTGTAACACAAACAGTATTGTTAGCTAATAGAACTGTTAATTTGTAACGAGTTCTCTGCACATGCAATAAATCTACATGCTTAATTGGAGTTTTTGGTGGAATTTTCAGCCATACACTCTCAGAAAAAAAGGTACTAAACTGTCACTGGGGCAGTGCCCTCTTGTCACTGGGGTACATCTCAGTACCTTTCATCAGGGAACATAATTGTACCATAACTCATTGAAATCATATTTTCTCAGTCCAGGCTTTTTATTTCAGTGTTCTGTTTTAAAACATTAGGTAATCAAAAGGTTCAAATATGTACTTTTTACTGAGAAAACTTATTTAACGTTCACAATTGGACCTTTGAGCTCCTGCTCCTCAAGGTGTGGTTTTGGTTCCTACCCTAATAAGACTCCCACCCACATTTAGCCCAAAATTTCTCACGGTTGTCCCTAGACATTCTTGTAACAAGATCATGTTGGGCCCCATTACCATGGTTTAATTATGACTTGGAGATGCACACATAAGAAATTGAAAGGGAGCAAGATATTCACAGACCATCACTAAATTTGTAGCAAAAAGGCAAAATGTTTAAATGTAAATCCAAAGCAACCATGTGGCTCAGTCACAAAAACTAGGAAAGCAAAAAGACAGAAAATGTGAAGAAAATAAACAAGTAAACTAATAAAACTGCATGAACTATCAAGATTTCAGAGAGCGAGAGAGAGATGGGGGTTATTTAAATGAACTGAGAAGGGTTACAGGTTTGTGGATCTACTCAGTGTTGTGGTAAGAGTGACCTCTAGAGGTGAGGAGTGAAATCCCCAGGCACATATTTGACATACAGATAGTGTATCTGAATACAAAGGCCAGATTAATCCAAGTCATGGTCCAGGTTCCTGATTGTTGGTCTGTTATAGTTGTCAAATAAGCTTTGATGTCAGAGCTTTACTCTATTGAATAGTTACAGATTAACCTGCATCTGCATGACTTCTTTTTACAGAGATGGTGGGGGTCCTTTAAAATGTAATAAATTGCTGTAAGTAAAGTTTGTGCTTTGAAGAAGGCGAGTTGTTATCATACAGCAAAGATCTGTACAAAGACATCCAAAGATATGAAAGGTCATTCCAGAAGAAAAGGAAAAAATTGGAATATCACGGAAGTTTCCAAAACTGAAGTTTTGAAAAATGGTTTGAAGATACAGAGAAAGTGGTACCCATAACAGCCCTGTGAGACCTGGTAGACCACTTAAAATGTTCCCACCAGATAAAAAGTACTTAAAGCTTTCATCTTTGAGTGGTAGGAGAAGATCAGTTTCTATCCATTCTCCCACTGTGAGAAGACAATTCAACACTGTGGGTCTGAAAGAGTGTGTAGCTGTTCAGAAGCTCATACAAAATATACAAAAAAAGAATGTTTGCAAATCACACAATGAAGCTGCTGGTGTTCTCTAAGAATAATGGACTGACTGACCTCCTCAGGTTGATGTTGAGTGTAGACCTCAGCATCACTGAATGTGTTTGGGATTACTTGGATTATGAAAGGAAAGATGTAAGCGTCTAAGACTGAACTTTGGAGGTAAAATATTCCTGCAGATTTCTCTGAAAAGCTAAGTCTTCTGAAAAGAATATAAGCTGTATAAAGGTACTGCGCTTTGCAATCTTCATGTTACTGAGCTATACTCAGGCTTCAGTAGACTGATAAATCAATGTGATGAGTTATTAATCTGAGTGTTACTGAGCTCTGTTAAAGCCTGAGTAGACTGATAAATCAATGTGATGAATCAGTTATTAATCTGAGTGTTACTGAGCTCTGCTAAATTCTGAGTAGACTGATAAATCAATGTGATGAGTTATTAATCTCAGTGTTACTGAGCTCTGTTAAAGCCCGAGTAGACTGATAAATCAATTTGATGGTCAGTTATTAATCTCAGTAGTGGACATTTTTGTGAGTAATACATTTAGCATCAATGTTGTACTGTCCTGCTCAAGGGATTGTGGGAGCAGCAGTGGACTGAAACAGGTGGTGAGAGAGGGAAAAAATTTGTTTGAATTTTTGGAACTTTGTTTAATGATGTGAATTTTTCATGAAAAATATTAACAGAATAATTTAGTGAAGAAAACTGCCAAAAACAACTGGAACAATGTGAATTAAGATATTTTCCATATACATTACTTTTTAATGTACTGTTACGGAATACTTTAATGAATACATTTATGACAGTGTATTCAGTATTCAGGCAATAAGCCAAACAACTGTGAGGCACATGAAGGTGGTGGGGGTGGGGGGGGGTTTGCATTAGCGCAAGTTATTTTAATTCATATTTAAAATTTATGCCTAATGATTAGTTCACCATGAATTTCAATGTAAGGAACTGATGTCAGATTCATGACGTGCTCTTAAATTGCAGAACTGTTCGCACCTTTGTGGTCTTGAGTATGTGTAGATTCTGTTCTTACTGCATAAGTGGGTGTCAGTTGTAATACCCGCCCTTGACACCAGAGGTCAGCCTCACCTGAGTATTGATCTCTTTAACCTGCAGCTCATCTAATTCCCTTTAAAA